GAGCAGGAATTTTAGAGTCAAAATGTTTGATGCATGGAAATTTTGGAGTCAAAGTATTGGATACATGGAAATTTTGGAGTCAAAATGTTGGATGCACAGAAATTCTGGAGTCAAAATGTTGGATGAGCAGGAATTTTAGAGTCAAAATGTTTGATGCATGGAAATTTTGGAGTCAAAGTATTGGATACATGGAAATTTTGGAGTCAAAATGTTGGATGCACAGAAATTCTGGAGTCAAAATGTTGGATGAGCAGGAATTTTAGAGTCAAAATGTTTGATGCATGGAAATTTTGGAGTCAAAGTACTGGATACATGGAAATTTTGGAGTCAAAATGTTGGATGCACAGAAATTCTGGAGTCAAAGTACTGGATGCATGGATACTGTGGAGTCAAAATACTGGATGTATGGATACTGTGGAGTCAAAATGTTGGATGAACAGGAATTTTGGAGTCAAAATGTTTGATGCACAGAAATTTTGGAGTCAAAGTATTGGATGCACAGAAATTTTGGAGTCAAAATATTGGATATGTGGAAATTTTGGAGTCAAAATATTGGATACATGGAAATTCTGGAGTCAAAATGTTGGATGCACAGAAATTCTGGAGTCAAAGTACTGGATGCATGGATACTGTGGAGTCAAAATACTGGATGTATGGATGCTGTGGAGTCGAAATGTTGGGCGAACAGGAATTTTGGAGTCAACATGTTTGATACACGGAAATTTTGGAGTCAAAAGTATTGGATACGTGGAAATTTTGCAGTCAAAACATTGGTTTGGGGTCAAAATGTTGGATGCACGGATATTGCGGAGTCAAAATGTTGGATGCACGGAAATTTGGAGTCATAATATTGAAACTTTGGAGGCAAAATACTGGATATGCAGATATTTTAGAGTCAAAATGTTGGATTCACAGAAATTTTGGATTCAAAGTACTGAATGCATGGAAATTTTGGGGTCAAATTATTGGATGTACGGATAACTGTGTGTGAAATTATTGGATGCACAGAAATTTTGGAGAAAAAATAGCGGATTCACAGAATTTTTGGAGCCAAAACGTTGGATTCCTGAAAATTTTGGAGGCAAAATCCATCCCAAAACTGCCCTGGGACCCTCAGGAAAACACTCTGCATGGTGCCGCTGCCAATAAATTAATTAAAACTGATGTTTTGCCTTTTATCTGCAGAGAATAACCCCAAATTTCAGGATTTGGAGACACCCCTATCCTAAAAATCCCTGTGATTGTTGCTCAGCAGCGTTTTTATGGCTCCAAACCCTCTCCCAACAACCTGTTTGGCAACGAAACCGCCCCAAATCCAGAGGGATGGTGTGGAAATAAACCTGGATGTTTGGGAAGTGCTCAGGGGTGGTGCCAGCTGGCTGGAGAAGGTGATGCCCAGCCAGGAGCAGTGGTGGGTTATCCCAAAAACGTCCCCCCCGGGGATGGGGGAGAGGGTGGGGGACCCCTTTTGGGGCCGTTTACCTGCGATCCATGTCTGAACCATTCGGGGAGGAATCAGAACGCAAAGCTCCAGGTGGAGGCCCTCTTTCCTGGGGGGACACGGAGGTGAAACATTCCCCAGGTGAGGCAGAATCTCCCCCCCCCCCAAAAAAAAAACCCAAATCAAAACCCCCCTCACCCCCAACTCCAACCTGCCACCAGGTCCTGCCTCTTCTGGCCGGTGGGAGCAGGAGAAAAGCTCCTGGGAAATGCTGATTTTTGGGGGTGATTAGAGGAAGACAAGGCCCTGCAAGCCCTGCCAAGAGCCAGGTGAGGACCCAGTTAGTGAATCAGCCAGTCAAAACTTGCTGGAGTCGTGATGCAACCTGGAACAAACCCACCCCAAATTTATCCTGCGCGGTTTTGGTCATTCCCGTTGGGAAGGTTGAGCCAAACTGAACAAATCTGGGGAGTTCCAACACAAGCTCTGCACCCCCTGCTTTGGGGGGCTGCAAACATTCCCAAATGTATATATATATCTTTTTAGAATCCCCATTGTGGTGGATGAAACCCAGGAGAGTCCTGGCTTTTGTTGAGATTTAAGGAAATCTCAGCGGTCCCCTGGTCTTGGGGTCAGAGATGCTCTTGAAGATCCCACTCTCCCCTCCTTGATTTTCGCCCTGATCCTGAGGAGCAGGAGCAGGAGGGGTCCAGGGTGCATCTTCCAGCAGGATTAGTGCCATGGGAAGCCGAGTGGGTGCTGTGGAGGGGGTTAGGAAGCAGCAGGGAAGGCGGGAGAGGCTCCTGAGCCCGTTACTTACGGCTGAGGCAATGGGGGCCCCCATTTCGGGGCTGTGCTGGGAGGGGCTCCATGGGGATCTTAATGAATGAGGGAGGTGGGAACTGGGGAAAAAATGGGGAAATTTGGTGAAAGCAGTGCTTGGGTGGGCTCTGAGACCACCTGGGGCACCCACAGGCACCCAAAACATGGACAGGTGGGTGCAGGAGGAGAAGGATTTGCCTTCATGATCCCAAATCCCCTGGCAGGGTCTGCAGCAGGAGGCTCTGCCCTGAGGAGGTGATGCCCTAAAACACATATTTTGTCGATTTCAGTGTGGCTTTTTTAGCACTTTTGGAGCAGAACTTCCTAAGCACCTTTTGTATCAGATTCCCGAAATGCTGTTTAATATTTCTTGTCAAGGATTCCAACGGGCAAAAGGTTTTTAGTGAGGTAAAGAACATTTTTTTTCCTGTAGAAAATGTTCTTAGAATAAGACATAACAGGCCCACTGCTTGATATAACCAGGTCCAAACTATTCAGAAGATCCAGAAGCCTTGAAACTGTTCCAAGAAGGACAAAAGGTGATGATGAAGAGGAGGATGAGGAGGAAGGAGGGGTCTTTTGGACCTCCAACTCAAATCTGGGAGGTGTGTCGAGGGTGCTACTGTGGGAGGGGTGGTTTTGGAAGTGGGTGTAACAGTATCAGGTTTGAATTATTAACTCGATTAATTAATCAGGCAACTAAATAAAAGCGAGAGGCTTTTGGACCTCTGCATGCATGCTTTGGAAGAAATTAGATTCTTGTGCATCTGACATCATCATAACAAAAGGAATTGCTGCTTCCTGAAGCTCACAAATTGAGTCTTGGGGTTTTTTTTTTAAGAGCCAATTTTAGGGTGATATATTTGGCCTGGAATCCAGGCACAGAATCCAAACAATCCAAGCTGGTTCACTGAGCTATCGCTGGTGCCAAGAGGCTGCTTTTAGTGTTGAATTGGGCTCAAACCAGCAAAACTTCAAACACATCTCCTGCTTTTTGGAGCAGGATTTGGCAGACGAGCTGCTGACTGACCTGCAGTCAATTATTTTATAACTCTAAAGGCCCAGTCCAACCTTCACAGGGCAGATTCTTCCACAGACATTCCTGGAGTGTGTGGAGCTTCTCCCATGACCTCTTCATGGTCACTCTCCAGGGGTTCTGTGAGAGATCTGTCCACGATCCATGAGTTCCATCAATCTCTACTTAATGATTGTTTCTTTTTGCCAGCTTTGATAAAATTGTTGTGATAGAATTGCTTTGCACTGTACTACTTTATGCTATGTTGCACCCTACCAGTAGTTTTTAGCTTTCTCACTGTATAGCAAATAATTCTGATTAAGGTCTTTCATCTGTTCATTTGTCATAATAAATAATTCATTTTATATAAAGATGTCTGATTTGTCTTCACTAAAACCTGTGGGACAGAAGTGGTTCAATCACACTTTTACAGTTCCTTACATTTAAGCAGTTGACACAATCCAAGGCTAAGACTGGATCCAGCCACCCCCAGGCTCCTCTGGGAGAAGGAGTTTGGAATGCAAGGGAGTCCTGGGAGGTTTGGGGGTCTATGGGGGGTGTTGGGGGTCCTTTCTGCACCTCAAGAGGCTTCTCTAATGAACTTTGTCTCAGCTTTCCACTCCCCTCCGACAGGGTTCAACAGGTTAACGATGCTTTGCCATCACACAATGGGTTCTGTACCCTCAGCTGTGGGATTTGAGCTCTTCTCTCTTTTTTTGCCATGATTTTCCAGCTTTCAGGGCAGTCTGAGCATTCCCTGGAGCCTCCTGCCAGCCTCTAAATGTCACTGAAACCCCCCCAGTCAGCCTGTTGGATCTCTGCAGTGAAACACTTCCAGGAGTCACAGATCTTCATCCCAAACCCACCAACCTGGAAGTTTCAGTGGGACCTTCCCCTCCCACCGGTCTGGAATGTCCCCACTGTCCACAGGAGCCCCTCACCCACCTCCTCGTCACTGCTGCTGTCTCCTTTATTGCCTTTTTTCTTCTTCTTCTTGTCATCCTCTTTCTTCTTCTCCTTCTCAGGGATGATGTTGTCGATCCAGGCCAGGTCGTGTTGGGAGAAGACAAAATCCAGCAACCTCCTGACCAGGATCAGGGCTAAAATCTATGAGGGCAGAGAAACGAGAGTGGAATCCCAGAATCACAGAGTCAGCCAGGTTGGAAAAGACCTCTGAGATCATCGAGTCCAACCTGTGACCCAACCCCACCTTGTCCCCCCCACCATGGCACTGATGCCACATCCAGGCTCTGCTCAAACCCCTCCAGGGACAGGGACTCCCCCCCTCCCTGGGCAGCCCATTCCAAGGGCTGATCCCTCTGGGAAGAACTTCTTCCCCATGGCCAACCTAAACCTGCCCTGGGGCAGCTCCAGGCTGTGCCCTCTTGTCCTACTGCTGGTTCCTGGCAGCAGAGCCCGACCCCCCCTGGCTCCCCCCTCCTGGCAGGGAGTTGCAGAGAGTGAGAAGGTCTCCCCTGAGCCTCCTCCTGTCCAGGCTGAGCCCCCCCAGCTCCCTCAGCTGCTCCTCCCAGCACTTGTGCTCCACACCCTTCCCCAGCCTCGTTGCCCTTCTCTGGCCCTGCTCCAGCCCCTCAACATCCTTCCCAAACTGAGGGCCCAGAGCTGGGCACAGCACTCCAGGGGTGGCCTCCCCAGTGCCCAGGGCAGGGGCACAATCCCTGCCCTGCTCCTGCTGCCACACTATTCCTGAGCCAGGCCAGGCTCCATTGGCCTCTTGCCCCCCTGGGCCCCCCTGGCTCCTGTTCAGCTGCTGTCAGTCCGTCCCCCCAGGGCCCTTTCTGTCCCCCCACTCTGGCCCAGCCCGGGGGGGCTGCCGGGGGTTGTTGTGGCCAAAGGGCAGGACCCGGCCCTTGGCCTTGGGGAACCTCTTCCCATTGGAATCAGCCCATGGATCCAGCCTGGCCAGGTCCCTCTGCAGAGCCCTCCTGCCTTCCAGCAGATCCACACTCCCCTCTGTGAGATGTCCCCCCATGGGAGGGGTGGCCACACTGGCCAGACCATATAAACACAGGAGTGCAGGGGCTCCATTTCGCCCTTCTCTCCTGGGACCTCCTGTCATCCTGTGACCTCTCAGTGGTGGCTGTACAATTTTCTCATTCTAACCTCTTTCTTTACTCCCTTCTTCTTCTCTCAATCTCTTCCTTTCTTTCTTTACCCTTCCCTTAACCTCCTGTGGGTGACAAAACTGATGGGTTGTATTTTACTTCCGTTGTGGTTGTCATGTGCTGGGTGCTTTGGTGGGACCTTCTCCTAGGTCGTGTGTTACCCCTATGAACCTTTTCCCAAAATGCCTCTTTCCTCCCTAAATTAAAAGAAGTCTCTTGGGAAATGCCTGTAGCATGTTCCCTTTGTGGGACTTCAAGGTATAAAGAACCAAAGACTCTGCAAGAGTTGTGGGGGAACTCTTGGAGTCTTAAATATAAGTAGAACTCCTGGGCAGCTCCTGGCTTGGACCTGGGGCTTTACACCCCCAGCCTGGGGTCATCTGCGGGAGCACCTCTCACCCCGAGACCTGGGGGTCACCAAAATGCCCTTAAATCCCAAAAATCTCAGCCTAAGCCAGGCTGGAGTTACCATGACGGGGAAGATGATGGCGGCCACGGTGGATTTGAGGATCCAGAGCACGGCCAGGCAGATGATCTGCACCAGGGTGAAGAGGTGGATGCGCCGCAGGGGGACGTGCCGCAGGAACACGTAGTCGGGCTGGTGCTTGGCCGGCATGAGGAAGAGCTTGCACCGATCCCAAAACTGCCAGGGGAGGAAGGTCCCTGTTAATCCTCACCCCCATCCCAGGAAAACCCTCTTTGAGTCCCCAGATTGGGGATTTGGGGGGGTTTTTTTTTTTGGGTGTTTCTCAGAGGGTTTTGCTGTTGCAAAGTATTGGGTGCACGGAAATTTTGGGGTCAAAATGTTGGACGTGTGGAAATTTCGGGGTCAAAATGTTGGATGCCCAGAAATTTTGGAGTCAGAATACTGGGTGCAAGGAAATTTTGGAGGTGAAGTATTGGATACCTGGATATTGCAGAGTCAAGAATTTGGACGCGCAGAAATTTTGGAGGCAAAATTTTGGATGCATGGAAATTTTGGTGTAAAAATATCGGATGCAAAGAGATTTTGGAGGCAAAATATTGGATCTAAGGAAATTTTGGAGGCAAATTTTGGGTGCATGGAAATTTTGGAGTCAGAATTTTGGATGCACGGACATTTTGGAATCAAAATACTGGATGCACAGAAATTTGGGGTAAAAATATCGAATGCAAAGAGATTTTGGAGGCAAAATATTGGACATAAGGAAATTTTGGAGGCAAATTTTGGATGCGCGGGATTTTGGAATCAAAATATTGGACACACAGAAAGTTTGGAGTCAAATATTGGGTGTATGGATATTGTGGAGCCAAAATATTGGAGGCATGGAAATTTCGGAATCAAAATGTTGGATGCCCAGAAATTTTGGAGTCCAAATTCTGGATGCATGGAAATTTTGGAGGCAAAATGTTGGATGTATGGAAATTTCAGAGGCAAATTTTTGAAGCACAGAAATTTTGGTGTAAAAATATCGGATGCAAGGAAATTTCGGACTCAAAATTTTGGATGCATGGAAATTTTGGAGTCAGAATGCTGGATGCACGGACATTTTGGAATCAAAATTTTGGATGCATGGAAATTTTGGTGTAAAAACATTGGATGCAAAGAAAT